CTGTGTTAGACACCAGGAGAGCTGCAGACTGAGCATTGAAAAGGGGTTAGTGGCCTCCCTGAGTGAGGCTGACTCTGGGCCCGTGGAGAATGAGACAGCGGTTTTTCAGCTCTGCCCTTTCTAGATGGAGGTTAAACAGGCGTTTATTTTCAGATTTCACACATTAACTTTGCTGAACATCTAAACAGCATTTACAGAGGCATTCAATCAAGTTCTCTGTCATGTTTCAGGCATCTTTTTTATTTAAATACTTATAAACAATGAAATTCATCTAAATGTTACTTCCTAAATGTTTATTCAATTATAATTTCAAACTATAAATGCCTAACTGTTTAGAGATGCATATCTCTAAATAAATTTTCATCTTCTGGTACATGTTGATTAATCTAATACCTTAAAATCACAAATATAACAGAGAATTTCTTGGGCATTTTCAGGATGCTCAAAATCAAACGAAATCAAATTTTTCTAGATATTTACACATGATTTCTGAGTTAAGTTCTCTAAAGTATTTCACTTAAAATCTTAAATATATTTTTGTCTAATATGCCAGATTATGAAAAACATTTCAAATATTATAGGAGTTGGCAGAACATGCAAAATACAGCCAATAATTAAAAACTTATCAGTTGCATGAATACAACCTGTCTGAAAGTTTTAATACTATCTTTATTTCTTTTTAAAGAGTTATTTTTGTATGCAAAGACTCCCATCGGAAGGAAACAAAATCAGAGTCTCAGAATCCCATTATAGAATGGTCACAAGAAAGAGATGAACCAGTCAGGGTGCAGTATAGCACCGACAAAACATACAACTTTCCTCTAGTTTTTTAATGCTTCCCCTCAGCCCCCATCATGACCCCAATTCTACCTTACAAATCCGGCTAGACCAGAGCATGTACCTGGTTACAGATAAGAGCTGAAAACACAGGGGCAGAGGGAGAAAATGAGCTGATACCAAGGCTCAAGTAGAAAGAAAATGTTTTGAAAATGATGATGGCAACATATGTACAAAGTGCTTGACACAATGTCTGTATGTATGTATTGTGATAAGAGCTGCAAGAGCCCCCAGTGAAATGAGTAAGAAAAAAAAAATCAGAGCCTCAGAATCTCTCGTCCCCGAAGGGACCTGGATGTC